GGATACATCCGAGAAAAATCACTTTAAGCGAATGGTCAATAGTGTGTACGGGAAAACTATGGAAAATGTGGATGACAGACGCAATATTTACCTTAAAACTCACTGGGCTAGTAAGAGAAATTCTCCGGGGGCAAGCAATTTAATTGCTAGACCGAATTTTAAGTCTTGTTCCATATTTTTACAGAACTTTGTTGCTATACATATGGGTAGAACTAAAATATGTTATAACAAACCACTGTACGTAGATTTCACGGTGTTGGAGTTGTCAAAAGTAAGAATGTATGATTTCTATTACGGCACATTAAAACAACAATTAGGCGATAAAGTTTCCTTAGTTTACACAGATACTGATAGTTTTGTGCTTAAAGTTAACTCAATAAATTTTTATGAATTTATGAAAAGAAATATTGAACATTTCGACACATCTAATTATAAAGCGGATAATAAATTTTACCTCCCAGTAACTAAACCAATATTGGGAAATTTCAAAGATGAATATCCAAATCAGGCTATCAGCATATTTTTAGGGACAGGCGCAAAAGTATTATATTAGATCAGATGAAAAAGAAACCAAAACTGCTAAGGGCGTAAAAAAAATTGTAATACAAAACAGCTTAAACATGACGGATTACCAAAAAATTGTAGAAGGTGGGGGTAAGATATTTAGAAAAATGAATTCATTTAGAAGTACGTTACATGACATTTATACTGAAATGAAAAACAAAGTTGCATTATCTTACAACGACGAGAAAAGGTTTATAATACCAAACACCGTGAAAACTCTACCGTGGGGACACAGAGATATTCAGGAATATCGTAATGGACCTCGAAAAAATGTAGCCGAATTATGGTGTAACGTAGTCAATATTGTAAATAATGGTAGCGATGAAAATAGATTAGATTTACTGTTAAGACTATTATTAGAAGAAATGTAAATTGAAAGTTTGTAATATATATGTAACAAAATAAGTTTATTTTTATAAAAATTGCCTACTATCTCTCCCCTCCACTCCCTAGTCATTCCTACCACAATAAATAGTGGGTGCTCATGGTCAGATATTCATTCTGCCTTATCCAGCCGAAACAGAAAACTTGTAAAAAAGTCTATCTCCATAGCGACCATAATAGCCAGAGAACAAGCCATAATTGATCATGTGATGTTTAATAAAACATGGGGGAAGTTCCAATCAGAAGTGAATAGCCACAACAAATCAACATTGAACAAGGCCTATAAAATGTAATTGTTAGGTTATAAGCATAAAAAATTGTAAAAAATTAGTTTGAATATATATTTATACCAATTTCCGTCTATAATTTCCCCCCCACCCACACCAAAATAGTAAGTACCACTGCAGGAGAACAAGCCATAGGCCACCACGTAGTGATTAATAAAATATAAATTTCTAGATGGAGCAGGTAAATAACTGAACTAACCAATTTTGAAGAAGTCAAGGATGGCAGTAGACAATGGACGCAAAAATTATAGTGAGAGATACATGGTTTTGTAAACCACGCTTCAATATCTCACCATTACTGACCACCCCGCCTCTGTGATTCAACAGCGGGTCTAAGACCCCGACGGCCATCGACACCGCCCGGCCCATGCGACTCCCGGATTTTAATTCTGGACGAGTGGTCGTATGACACCGAGCCGAACACTGAGTCGGACGACTCAATGTCTGACGACTCAGATGGCGATTCTAACTCGCAATAGGGCGTCTGTGTTCATTCAAAAACGGTCCTTTTCAGGACCAACAAAAAACTTAAAAAAAAGCGAGGGAGGGCGGCGGTAGCCGACCCCCGAAGCGGTGAGGCGGGTCCTTTTCAGGACCAACAAAAAACTTGAAAAAAAAACTTCTTTTTTAGAACCAACAAAAACTATGCGATGCCCGTTATTTACAACATGAGGCTGTGAGAGACTCCCACTCTCTCTCCCCTTCACTCCCCTCTCTTTCCTATCGCTATATATACGGAGACCAGCAGTAAGAAATTCAGTTTACTTCAGTTAGCTGAGTAAACTACTTAATTTTCTTGTTTAATTTTTTCAAGTTCAACATGAATTCATTTGAAGAAACCGTCGCCGCAACGAACTCCATCCTCCCAACAGGAGAAACCGCCGCTGCTACCACTGACACCCTGCTTTTGACTGCATGCCGGACGATTTCGACATAGAGATGCTGTTGATGACTGCAATGGCTGCAATACCTAGCCCTGTGACACCGATGGAGTTGTCTCATACTATGGTCGAAATCGCTCCGGTACCGGCCCCGTTACCACCCTCGTTACCAGCCCCGTTACCACCCCCAGAACCGGTGGTAATCTATGATAGCGAGGATGATTTCGAATCTGTAGGGCCGAAGATCCGGGTCCTCAGCAATGTCCGCATCCCTACACTGCCGACCTCAGTCACGGTGAAAAAACTGCCGAAAGGTAAACTTGTCGGCACAATTGAAGATGCCAACGAGGCCGCAAGTGGTTGTGCCGAAAAGTAAAAAACCAAGTGCCCCAAAGAAGCAGAAAACCGTGGCTGTGAAGAAGTTGAAGGCCGTAGCCTCAACAAGTGCGGCTGCGCCAATCCCGATACCGCCCAAAGATGAAGACGATGACAGCCTGATGAGGGATTTCAACTCCGCCAGCGCCACGCTTGAGAATATGCAGACGCGGTTGAAGGCTGACAGAGAGCAGTTGGACACGACCGAATCCACGCTAAAACAACTAAAGATGGTGGTGAGTGGTATGGAAGTAGATATGTGAGTAACCATAGTACCACTTTAGCGCCAGTCTGATGCGTTGACTGACGAAGGCTTACGCATCCAGCTGCACTTGGCTGAGTTGAAAATACAGACGGATGAGGCCCTTCACCACCAAGCTATTTTACGTCAAAAGCAGAGGGATGTGGACGCGGAAATTGCTAAAGTGAGACAATCTCATCCGGATTATGAAAAAAAAAGGCCTGTGAGATTGTTGGGGCGCGTTTTAGTGAATTAAGCGAACAGTTGCGTGTTAGGAAGGCAAAATACAAACCTAAGTTGAATAACTTTTTTTCGTTGGCGGATATATGAAGACATTTTTTTTATTAGTCGCGGTTGTGTGCCTGCCGGGGGGCCGGGTCCAGAGTGGATTTTTAGTCGGTCGTGCTATTCAGTCGGGAGCACAACCCGACACTACCTAGTCATTGGGCGGCTAGGTGTCTTTAAGAAGATTTTTACCACTCCCTAAAAAAATCGAAAAAAAAAAGCAAATACCTATACCGAGGTGATTTGAAAATGTAGCTTTAAATATATACTATTAGTTTGAATATTTTTCATGGGTGCGCGCTACGAAGACGGGCTATAAACAGTTATTAGAGGGCATATGTTCGCGATAGGGTAGGTAAATAAATTTTTAATTTGGTTTCGTTAGTTGTGGTTAAGTATACCTACCGAGGACCTTCCACGTTAAAAAAAAGGAATGAGCCATAGCTAATACCTCCAGGGTGGTTTGGGAATGTAGCTTTTAATATAAGTGCTATTAGTTTGAATTTTGTTCACTTTTTAATAATACGTATAATAACGAAATTTTATATGTACTATCACTTCTCTCATACTTTTTTAGATCACTATTAATACTCATCACACATATGCATACATTCATTCTACTTCATGATATGTGATTCTACAAGTGATACATATTTTAGCCCACCCTGATTATAAAGGAGAACTATCGAAGAGCTGTTTCAGATCATGTCGGGTGACTATGGGTATTGGTGTCAGGTAATGATGGACAGGAGTTGGGTCCTTGCGACTCATCAACATCTCCTGCAATAGCGCTGCGGTAGAAACAACCGTATTATCTGGCAGCGATAAATCGAACAGCGATGCAATGGACAGCGATTCTGACTCGCATTAGGGTGTCTACTCTAGTTGAGAAAAACGGTCCTTTCAGGGCCAACAAAAATACTCTAAATAAAAAAAGGTCACTCGATAGGCTAAAAAGTATAATTTTGTGTCGACTTTAATTTTAAATTGGTTCCCACTCAACATTTAGCCACCATCCTGTTATTAAAAGAGTTCTTCCAACCTCAATTGGCCGCATTTTCCTTGAAGATCTCGCACTACTATGCATACATTAAGTGATGGTTGTTCTATTAGTAAGCGCCTCACTTGCAAGATTTGTGTCGATAAGGAGGTGCAAATGGTTTTTATACCATGTGGACATGCTGTATCTTGTGTTAGATGCAGTCGATCTGTAGTTTTTTGTATTATCTGCAGATCACCGATTAATGCTAGAGTAAAAGTTTTTCTGACATCCAACTATCCGGAACTAGATGCACTCTACTGAGCGTGATGTTATGCAGGGGAGATGGTAAATGCGAGGGTTGGGAGAGTGGAGGTGGAAATACATAACCATATATAAAGAGGTCTCGACCACTTACCAGCATCAGTCATCCGATTAAAGCTGACCATCACCCTATTATAGCTGAAAATCACCGAGAAATGGATAACGCAGTAAACGCCGCATTTGTGTCTGAGGTCGAGCCCCACCTGGCTTTGATAGCGCGTTTCGACGAAAATAAGCCGGGAATTGGTGAATTTTGGGACCAGATAGAGCAAGAAGTAAGTTTTTAACCATGATTGTTCGAGAATGGATTTATTTTCTTTATTAATTTCTTAATTTAAATTCGCGTTTTTGTGCCCTTGCTTCATGTGTGCCGCTCGCCGATCATCAGTCCAATATTCCAAAAGGTAAGGTGTCAAATACGTTATTAATTTATTTAGTTTGATTATTTGAATCAGCCCTTTTTTGGCAGCATAACATCCGTTCTGTTTCATTTGGTCCTTCTTGCCTTTTGTTTAAATAATTAAAACGATTTAAAGTAATTATAACGTATAAAATTCGATTTTCTTTCATTTTCACTTTTTTTTTGTTTTTTATATATACTCGCTTGGAGTATATCGCATCTAGCTTCAAATTATTAACGCAGAAAAGATATTATAATAGGTACTTAATAAAAATAATAATAAGTATAGCTTAAAATTTAAATTATTCAGGGATAATAATTTTATTATTGGTCAAAAGGTGACTATTTTAATAGACATATTTTACTTTTTGTTAGATCGTGAAACGAGATTACATTTATTTTTCGATTCTCGACCTTTGTGTCACCGTCTCAATTGCGCATATCCCAGAATTAAGCTGTATACGCCCATTATTGCCATTTGCCTCACCGCTGTCCATCTATCAATATATGTATTTGTATCTGCCTCGCACTTTATCTATTTTACAATTATTGGACATCGTCGATTGCGCTCTGTACGGAATTTTTCGATTTACTCACTTCACTGTGAATTTTAAACCGCTTGTAGTGTTGTTCGTTTACCTGATTTCGTAGATAGGTACTTTTATTATTTAAAAGTACGCTCGCTTTGGCTAGATTAATTTGTTTTTGTGAATTAGAATTCGAGTTAAATATTTTTGATTTAGAATGGCTGAAAAAATCGCTAAATACAAAACTTTGAGATCGTCTGCTTTATATGAAATTAATGTTATTAGTTTGCTTGCTGATAAAGTTAGAACAGACAAAGCAGTTCGCAGTCTTTTTCGCGTACGTTGCACTGATTTAGATGCAATAAAAGATGATTTTATGAAACAACATAATAATATTCTAACTGTACTCTTTAGTATTCCGGAAGATGCTGGGGGGGAAGATGTAACTAAAGAGGGGTTTTATCTGAATATTATAAAATTAAAGCCGTTTTTGCCGAATTATTTGATAATGAAACGCATAATCTGACTCATGCTAATGTTGCCGCTAATTCTACCGTTATTATGCAGGATCATTCACATGTACGAATGCCAAAAATCGAACTTAAGAAATTTAATGGGGACTTTAGAAACTTTCGATCTTTTATGGACCATTTTAATAATTTGGTACATAATAAAACACATTTGTCAG